TTTTAAAAATTTTGCAGGATCAATCAATATCTTACAGAGGTCAATATGGATTACTAATATAACTTATTCCAGCGCTGTTTCTAATACACTCCTGTACTCGAGATTAGTCTTATTTTCTATTTAATCGATTCTCGCGTTGAATCATATTCTAGCACTGTGACTGTACTTGTCCCGCTTTCAGATCGTTGCGCTAATCGTTTTTGCTTCGTCGTCGGCAATTTTACGATGATGATAGAATGAGATACTTTCAAGCGTTTTTTTGAGCACTGGAGATTGGCAATATGCCTCGACGTAAAAAGATACGCTTTCATTCGCGTAAGTTCATTGCTATTACATCTCACGTCATTACATAAGGAATAATTTACATAAGGAATAATAAGGAATAATTTACATAAGGAATAATGCATTTCATCTCTCCCAGCTCCTTAGGATCATAATATCCTGCGACCCAAACTCACCTTTAAAACTCCCTCAATTTTCATCAAAATCTTTTCAGAAATTATAATAGCTCTAACAGGTAGGTGCTTTAAGGTCTTGTCTACTACTATTTAGAGGTATTTCTTACCCTTAGTTCCTTTCAATAGGACCGCCTTATCAGCGCGTAGCTCCATGTTAGTAGTCGGCTTTTCTTGATTCTCCTAGCCCTATTAGATCGAAAAATCTCTCAATTGGACGATTTTATAATGTTATACCGCGTAAAACATAGCTGACTACCACGGTACGCTGCATACCACGAAGTTCAAGAGTGCCTGCTCTTCGACACCTTGAGTCTGTGCAACAGTCCTAAATTGGTCATTTGCAAATAATTTGTCGTGGCAACAACCAGCTGCATGATACACATTCGTCGTCAACTTGTAAAGGTTTGGCGCACAAGTTATACCCTGAAATCTCTACCTTTGCTCAGGACGCCTTTTGGAATCAGGTCGGTAGTACCTCAATTAAACTATGGATTCTGTTTTTCCCTATTTAAGTAGTTCTATTTACTTTGAGAAACAAGAAACTTTATTTGCTCAGGAATGATTCGTGTTAAAAAAAATATATGACCTAACAAAAGCTTACAATTCTCAGTTCAAGGTTTCTGTTCATTGCAGAACAAATTTCACAAATTTCGAGGTTCTGCAGTGTGAGCTTTTCTGAATATCATGTGTGCGCTAGTTTTAATAAATATACAAATGGGTACACGCGGA